AATGCTCTCCACTCTCATAGGCATACCGATTGTCATTCACACCGACCGGATGCCAGTTTAGCACACACGCAGAACCTCATTTCGATTGACAAATTACGATGGCCGTCGAAGGATTGCAGACACGACCCAGTTTTCCTACTCCCCACCTGTGGCAGGCTTCATGGGGGAAGACCCAGTTCTCACACAAGTGAGAGAGAGACAGCGCTAAAAAGACCGAAGTAAGAAGTCACTATTTCCTGGCCATCGTTCAAACGGAGGACTGGACCCTCCGTCGGGACGGTGTAAAGTTGCGCGCTCACTTGTTCATAGTGAGGAAGTTGGGCGACGACGACGACTCGGAACCGGACCTGTGCAAGCACGTGGTCCTCAAGCCCCCAGAGGACTACAAATTCTGCACAATAGTCCCAAGAAAGTAGATTCTAGAAAGGGAACCATTGTTAAATCTGCTGTTAGAATGATCAACAAAATCGGATATTTCCAAAACCTCTCCGTAATCCTCTGTATGTATGCTTTCTCGGTGGTTCGACCAGAAGGTTTCTGTTTTCTTGACAAAGATGACACCTCCAATAGCATTTCTTAATGCCGGATAAGTGCCTCCGATTTTTTGGTTGCTCCGAATCCAATCAGGGCATGGTAAGTTAGCTGCCGGTTTTCGAGTCCTCGCTGACGACAACGCTCGCCAAAATCTGGGGGCCGCATCGGTAGAAGCCGAGTTCTCCGGCACCTCGAGTGCCTGCTCCCTCCCCAGACAGCCGTTCGGTTGGAAAATCAGAACAACAGAATATTTTTTAATCCAGACGAAAGATACTCAGGTTGACTGGGATTGAGGAAGAAGAATTTGGAGTACTGAGAAGAAGATCAGCTGCTGACGCCGGTGGAGCGACTGGTATGCAGAATCGGATCGAAACCGTAGTCTGGACTCGATGGACTGAGATCGTTTGTGATATTCATGTCGCCCCATGAGAGCATGTCGTTGACTGTATTCACCTTATCTAGGCAATATTCTGGGAATCAGGGAAATTCATGTACGAAATCGAAAGGGAAATTTATTGATGTTTGAAATCCATAACTTCAGGCAGTTACGATTCAATCCCGACAGGTAAAGTCTTGCTCTGATGCTATCCACTACCCCCTTCGGATCAAGTCCCAAATGGGAAGAGGTCTACGAAAAGTGTGTTCAGTACGGACTGGGAAAAGAACGTGTTTGAGCAAACTGATAGACGGAGAAGAGTAACACGTTAAGATCCGCAGGGACGGGCGTCCAAATGCCTTGAGTGAGCACTATTATGCCTCAGTCTTGAAGTTAATTGGCCCCTTCGAGTAGCTGTGGTTGGTCGAAAGCCAGACAGAGCCTTCCGGCCTGAGATTGTGAGCGGGAGCACAGCACGGGGCCGTGGAATGTCCGAGGAACAATTTCCGCAATATGTACATGTAAACATTCGCCAAACAGAGTCAGCGTTTCAAAAGACGCCCCGCGTAGAGTCAATAAACCCGTTCCGTGCCATTATGCAGTTCAAATTCACCGAGCAACTTTTTGTTTCCTGACACGCTCCAAATCAGAAAATGATGCAGAAATCCTTGAATTAGTTTGCCATCCACTCACCTCTTCGTCGATTGTCCAGTAAAGCGCGAATTTCGTTTTGAAACGGAACTTCTCATATTTGCGACCCACAATGGCCGCCATATCGGCCTTTCAGAGGTTCGCAAGGCTAATGCACTGTTAGGCGTTATACTATTACCCACTGCCTCGTCCCAATTCAGTCCCGACAGGTTACTGCACATGTACCTAGATCTCCTCATCGATGAACCGCAATATAACACCATCAAACCACCCAACGCTTCCACTGAACAACGACGACATCCTCCCGTTTTCCCTCCGTGCCACATGGCCTCTGAGATGTCAGTTCATTCAGGTTTCGAACTCGACACATTTCCTAAATGATTTGTCTCCAATGTAAGAAAGGCTATCACTTTCACAATCCATACTACTAATGCACTAAGGAGTCCAAACTGAGGTGGCCGCACGCTCACCGGAAGAAGGCCATATTCGCATAGCTGAAACAAAAAGTTGGTTTCATTGCATGGATGATGCCTTCTTTGGTAATTGCAACTTTCTTCCTCAAAAGCGCTCTTACCTATAAATGAAGCGCATTGGTTTCTAATGTCAGAACTTGTTGTAACGAAATCGCGCAGAAAAGATTCTACGCACTGACGAAAACACCAATATGCCAGGCTGGTCACGCACCCAATCGCATTTTAGCCATGACAGTGGGAGCAACCAATTAGGACTCAGCGCCTAATGGCCAATGAGCAGACAGGGTCTTGATGTCACAACCTGACCGCGGCACAGTTGCTGTGCTAATGAACTGCCGTAAAAGAATTAGCTGCCAAAAAGGATACCTGATGAGAACTCGACGCATCTCCTGCAGATACCGTGTGACATTAATCAGAACAACTCTCCTTTGCATTCGATGTCCCATAGGGGATACCGGGTGGTTGGTCAGATAAACCGCGAAAGGCATTTGCAATTTTTCAACTACCGTGCAATTGGTGCGGCCGCTGAGTGGTTGTTAGCCGGTAATGAGATGATACTGATTCAGCATTACGGGAAATTCACGGGGATTGTTTGGCAGGTGACTGTCACGAAGGATTTTATTTCAGAATATGTGCATTGACATTCGGGACCATCATTAAAGGTATTCTCCGTCACTTCCGTTCCCAAAAAGGTCCAAGGTAGCAAGATTAAAACACTACTAAAAAAAGCATCTTATAAGAGAATGTTTTATTTAATTTATTGTAAGCGTATTCGTTCTAGAGTTCTGCTTTTGACGTTCATTTAATTCGACAATGAGGTTTCCCGTTTGGCTGAGTCATCTAATGTAACCCAAAAGAACTTTACATGAAAAAGAACGCCTAAACAGTCGCTAATATGATAGGTATCTTCAAGAGGTATCTTATTTTACATTTTTTGACGAGCACATAATACGGAATCCGCCTTTATGGGCACTCTATCGGAAACTATGAAAAGCATGGATTGTTCATCGATGTTTCAAGGGCTGTCTGAAACTCAACGTAATCCGATATAAAGAAACGGTACAAATTAATTCCATGGGAAAAAGTTTCGTTGTATACGCGAAGTTGTATGTTTACGATCACACCCGTCAACTTTATTTAAATTTATTAATCACTGACAACATGTCCCTTTGTGAAAATTTTCTACCCTACGACGTCCTTATCGTAAAACCAATCAAAATTCTGTCTGCATTATTGAACCGCATCTCAATCAACTCAAAAGCGTGAAGAATATCACGAAGCCTCGGGAAACTGTTTTCGAATCTACACTCAGGATGTAGGTTGTTGGCAAACCGCCTTGCATGTGTTTTTATTCCCTTTGGGACTTTATACGTGAGCATGGATATTGGGTCTTCAAATTGGTATCGGTCTGCGAGTTATTAGTGATCATTACAAAATTTCGACGCCCCATCGTGAGTTAGGCAACGAACAGTACGATTTCAACGTTATGGCAGGTCAAGAAGATAATTAGGATGATGACTGTCATGAAGAATAGGTGGATTGACGCTGACTTTGTTTTATTCACCATGGCATGAGACGGCCTACCTGGCGCGGTGGCCCAATCAGAGACTGTTGAATTTTAAACGGACACTTGCCTGTTGAGAAATAAATTACACATATAATCAAGATTGTGTCAGTGGGGGCAGTTTGTGCCCCGTTTACGCACGACAGTTCGACGGTCGTTTCCGATGATGTCCACTGTGTGCTACACAAGAAAATGAGAACATGGACGGTGACTTGCGCGTGATATAGTTGATAGTGAATGCGGACTTGCGAAGCATCTACCGCACTTTCTTATCTTCCCTCACCTGGATCCCGTGTCAAGACATAATTAACAAGATCAGAGGTGGAGGAGGGCGCAGGTCGCTGGCATGGCCGAAGCCGCGCCTAGGCGTGCCGCCAACGGCTGGCTCGGATGCCACAGAGTGGAAGTGCCATGAAGGCTACATTAAGAAGGAGCCATTGCACTGCGACTCCTAGACCACCAGCCGGCCGCTCCACACAAACATACACACACCACAGGGATGACTGAGATTTCTAAGATATCCCGTCAGTTGGCAGCCTTCCATGCCACAGCTTTTAGCGCACCTTGATAGCTTCAAGTGCGTTAGATTGTTTATAGTGCGATGGAAAATGCGCTGAGTTGTCGAGCTCACTCCCCCTTCCCATTCCCACACCTCAGCCTCTGTCCGAGCCGGTCAGCAGACTGTAGCTGGGAATTGACGCGGTGGCTGGCATGGTCGAGCGACCTAGTCTGCGCGCGCCACACACAAGACCTGGCCTCCCAAACACAAACATCAGAATTTCACACAACGGGGTTGAGCGGCGTATCTCTCACATGCGTGAGAGTGCCTTGGAAGGAGCTGTATCGGCCCGTCACTCAGTCTACCAGTCCGCCACTCCACACAACACACACACACAACTGGACGGACTGCGTGGACTGAGTGAGGGGGCGTCAATCAGCAGCCTTCCTACCCACGGCTCTTGACGCGTCGGGATAGTCTCAGACTCAAGTCACCCATGCAGCAGAAGCCCCACGGAGACCGAGTCCCACATGCGTGGGAGGTGGCAATTTATTGCTTGCGATGAGTGATGTCGATGTGAGGTGAGATAATGGCGTGGGAGGATGTGATGGTGTGTTGCAGCCGGCGTGCTTACGTGTACGCGCACTCGGCCTGGTAGACCCTTGCGGTGCCTGAATGTGCGGATGCAATTAGGACAGTGGAGGCGGATGCGGCGAGTGTAGGTTAGTGCTCCGGGCGCCCGTTCGCCAGTCTCTGTGCGATGAATTCGCAAGTGATCGACTAAGCCGATGTAAAGTTGAGGTGTGATCGCGATTAGGACATGTATGGATGGAGTCCACATTGGTGGTGTTGGCAGTGAGGGGAGGGGTCGGTGTGTTAGGATTGTGTGTAATGTTGATAGGCATGGATGATGATGATGATGGTGGTGGTGGTGGTGGTGGTGATGGTGGTGGTGGTGGTGGTGGCGGTGGTGGTGGTGGTGGTGGTGGTGGTGGTGGTGGTGGTGGTGGTGGTGGTGGTGGTGGTGGTGGTGGTGGTGGTGGTGGTTCGGGAGGGCGATCAACGTTAATTGCCGGCGCGGGAGGCGACGGAGTGGTGGACGGAGAGGCGACGGTTGGTGCAGTCCGGTTGCTGCAGTTGGTCCGGAAGTGTCCAACAAGTCCAGTTTGCGCCGGAATGTCCGTTAACATCGTGGACACGTTGGAGGCGGATTTGGTGCTGCCGCCTCAGCTTCAGTGCTCGATGAAGGCAACTGAGGTGGTAATGGTTGAGTCTACGTGCCTGCTTCATATATATCGTCCAGGACTCTGCTATATACAGCAACGTCGGGAGGATGAAGGCCTTGCACATCTTCAACAGCATTGTGAACCGGAGGCCATGACGATTCCAAACTGTACTTTGAAGACGACCGAAGGCTTGACTGACCTTGGAAATCTAGCGGACCACTTCATCGTCGATTTTGGTGCTATAGGAAAGGGCGCTGTCCAGATATGTTAAGTTTTCCATCACTTGCAGTTGGATTCCGTCCACGCTGATTTGCGACGCATTGGGGGCATTGATGGGCGGCGGTTAATGCATGAGCACCGTCTTCTCCGTGTTTATGATCAGACTGAAGTTTTCACAGACGGCAACGAATAGATCCATGCTCCTTTGCATGTCCCCTTGTGAGGTGGCGTTCCGGATGTAGTCGTCGGCGAGGAGAAGTTCGTCGACGGTGGCTGTGGATACGCGTGATTGGAAGTGCATCCGTCGTTGATTCAGGAGATGACCGTCCGTCCTGTAGGCGATGCGGATCCCAGGGCGTTCGTCGCGGTAGGCGTCCATCAGCATGGCAGTGAAGATAAGACTAAAGAAGGTGGGCGCCAGGGCACAGCCCTGCTTCACTCCGTTGGTCACTGCGAATGCCTCTGAGATAGCTTTGTTGTCCGTGACTCGCGCCATCATGCCATCATGGAGTTGACGCACCATCTGAGTCAATCATACGTGACAGCCTAATTTCTGCATGATTTATCACATTCCTTCGCGATTCACCATGGATTATCTACCTGCAATGTGCCTTTCTAATATACCAGAAATGTCTACCGTGCAAATACTTATTCCTCTCTCATATCGTCGGTCGCAATACGTTCCGTCTTCTAAAAGGCCCGTAATCCTAACCTGGCCGAACTACGAGTGACATTGAGCCTTTAGTTCAACTGGGACACATGTATCCTCTCCTCTGAAGGTTTCTAAATAATAGAATGTTTCTTCATCGACAAAGTGTGAAGAAAAGGGGTATTTATGAGTGAGACTTACCTCCAAAGCGGTTTTGATAGTTTATAAATATGCAAAATATCAAACCGGGCATCTGAACGCTTGGAAAGATTTGGTGGACGAATCTGATGCCAAAATATTTAATATATGCTAGGCGCCAGGCGAACGAAATCCGATGTTTATTCTAAATAACTAAATAAAAAAATTAACAGTGTCTAGTTTTTGGAAATTTGCGGCCAAATTCAGACTCAAGAGACACAAGCAACGTTAACTCCCTTCCATGCAGGTTGGAGAAGTAAGTTTGAATTGATAGACTCTAGTTCTAAATTAAACGTGGTCATTTCTCGCAGGCGTTGCCCGTTCCCAATCGTTTTCAGACTCGAATTTCTTAATTCCTTTGTTGCTTATATATGGCAGATCATCGATTTTTTAAAAATTCCATTCTCTTAATTTGGTCTTGGCCAAAATGTGAGAGATACTTATGGTATTTGGCCAAGGGACAACGAACCAGATCTCATCAACGCATGTCGATGGGTTGCAATCATTAGAAGCACACGGGGTCGGTGGGGAGGAAATGTCCTTGTTATTAGATCTCCATACGACGCCGCAACAGTTGATCACCTAATCCACAGGAAAAGGATTATTTCACTGGTGAATATGCTATCCCCAAATACCATTTACGCAGCTGACCAGACCTGGCAATGAGTCTGAGGACGCAAATGTCCCACAGGCTGCTTTACTCTGACTGACGAAGAAGTATTTAAGTAGTATGCCCAAATACGCCATACCGCGTCGTCAGCGTCCTTCAGCTCCATTTTATGACGGATGCCTCCTCGTATGCGCCTTAACAGGCCGGAATCGGACTGCGGACATGCTCACTGCAGCCGCTGTCGCCTTGCATGGTCACGTGACATAGGCGTGAAATATGCAGCGCGTACTGGTAAACTTGCTCAAAATCCGTTCTTTTCTTATTTATCGACGGGGTAGCTCTGCTCTCGAAGAAATATCCGAATGACTAATTTTCCCAGTGCTGTAACACACACATCCGTACTACCAGTAAGCTTAAGATGCTGCCATACGTAAAAACCAATATTTTTGGCAAAAAAGTCAACTTCGAGCAGGAAATTCGAAAAATGAATAGATGTGGGTTTCAAGGTTATCGACGGGAAAGGTCTTATCAAGATCAATCACCAGCGTTTTTCTGTTCACAAGCGGTAGCATTTTAGCAAACAGCCCATGAATATAAAGCGGTCACAGTGAACGTCCCATCAGTGATGCGGATTTGGAAATCGCGACTGCAATCTCTACGACAAACCGTGAACTCTCCTTCCAGTACTTAGCTCACCGACGTTTATCCTCCCCAAGATCAAACCATAAGCCTGCATTTTATACAACGCTGTGCATTTTTCAAGCAGTGCGATTTTGCCCGGCGTTTGCCTAACTCTGATCTACAAAAAGTTCCCTTTGCCTTTCGCAGTTTTGAATTTAAACTGTTGCTCTGAGCAAGCTCAATGATTCTTATTTTCTTAAACCAGTTCAGAGCAGCTGTCAACAGGTTTGAATCAATTTTTTGCGTTTTTTCAGTGTAGACCTAAATGTTTTCTTTCTAAAAACCGCCATAGTTGGTTAACTCGTTCCCAAATCTATCGCAACTGTCTGGCGATTCATTTTCCAGTCGGTTAAAACATTTGAACGTGTTAAGTAATCGGAAAGTTGTCGGATGTGGTAGCAAGCATTATTTCGATCAGTTCCGCTGGGCTTTTCAGGCATCCTTTAGCGTTTAGAAAGTCGCCTAACGAGACTCAATGATACATGCAGAATCTGACAGACAGCCATGCAATCTCTTATTCAGAGCATTAACCGGAGGGCATTTACTATGGACATCAGTTCTGCCGTCGCAAACGGTGATATCCAACGTGTGCGTCAGAGAATACAGAGAGCAGTTTGGTAATTAACGCATGAATTAGTTAACAGTGATAGCAGACTCGCGCGTGGCATCTGCGCCTGTCCGGGCCTATTGACAAGTTAAGAAGACCGGAGGGAGCAGCGAACGTGGTGCCGGAATAAACTAAACAGCCTGTCTACACGTGCCACACACACACACGACTTGGACATCAGAAACCGGTGGAGGCGAGCCGTTCTGTGAAACCATATAGCAGTCGCCCAAGCCGCGAATGGGTCGGATGTGATTTGGTATCTCCATCTAAAGCAAAAAAACCCCAGTCACCTCTACTACGGGACCGGTGGTAAAAGGGTTTTTTACAGGTGGGGTCGGAAAACGCACAGGCGGCAGGAGCAAGTAGTTATATGCAAAAGAAAAGCTATTGGGAATGTGCGGTGGTACTTTGAATGGTTGAGAAATAGATGCGCTAACCCCAACCCTAACGCCTAAATATAACCCCTTATCCTTAACCCTAACCCTTACCGCCAACCCTAACAGTATTGTGTCCATCAGGTGGGGCTACCTGACCACATCTTTCCCGCGACTGTTAACGAGTCGTGATAGCTCTAAGACGGGTCAGATTGCACACATAAGCTCGGCAACCCTGGTGTCGGCTTCACTCATTCTTCCCTTTCTCCGGCGCCAGCTCACTGTCCAAACTAGCCGGCCATCGGATGCAAGTGGACACCTGCACGCGCCACACGTGACCTGGCCAGCAGAACACACCAAATTCTCCCCCTCCCCCCCCCCTAAAGGTCAAGGACAGATATGAGGCATGACTTTTATCGGGCGTAATGACGGATTCAAGCCCTTTGTATGTCGCGATACAGTATGCGTCGCGTAGGCCTGTTGTGACCGGGCGGTGTGCATGTTTGTCTGTACTCAGAGCGCCACTAAAATCTGGGCAAATCCTAGTGTTGTAGGGAGAGAGATGAAAACACCTGAATGCGGAGTTTATTGTTGACAAAAAGGCCGATTCCCGCATTATGTTGCCTATTCCAGTGTACATATGATCGAAGTCATAGCTCCAAATATTTCTTCTAAGTCTGATATAGCACGGAATACTTCCAGAACAGTTCGGCCGGATGGTGGTAGCTAGTGCATCCCATGAAGGTTGTCGAGCGATTTTGTCAGCACCCGATCTATTGCGCCTCAGATGACATTAAGCCATCTGCGTTTGGCATCCACGTCGCACTGGAAGTCAGGTGACCACTACTCCCGCGCGTCAGAACGTGCGCACACCCAACCCCGATGATAGTCAATCACAGGTGACCACAAATGGCCTTGACACCCAATAAACTCAATGGGCTGGCTCTGTCTGATTTTCACGTGAGGCTTATGCACTCACACCCACGTCGGCCTAGCGCACGGACGTGCGCGGGACTGCAGCCTGTCCCACGTCGAGGTTGCTTTACGGCCACCAGGCCGCAGCACAGAATACACTACTCCTACCGGCGTCTTTCCCCTTCTCCACTAAAGCGGGACTGATCCGTGATTATTGTGGCGCTCCGAGTACACTCTCGCTTCTCAGACGCCAGTGACAGTTTGGCTGTTGCCCTTCACGTACCCTCGTGGGGAACAAAATGTGCTGAGTAAAGAATAACCTGAGCGTTATGTCCAGTGGACGCTGGTCAAAAGTTGGATGTGGACGAAGTGTGTAACTGCACTCCAGTCAATAGGTGGTGTATTAAATTCTTCCATGGTCAAGACGTCCGACCAAACAACAAATCTTATGACGGGCGTCAGCCATGGGACCACTTCTTGGCATTCGATAGGCTGTCAGGTCTGCAAGGTCAGGGACAGATATGCGGAGCATGACTTTTATCGGGCTTTAACAGTTTCTAATTATGTCATTTGTAATACCATGGAATGTCCGTTCATTGTATAATTATGCTGCAGGATGATTAGTTTTACCACCCTGTCTAATTATTTTTTTCGAGTAGAAAACACATATCGGAATTTCGGTTGACATTGCTTGAGTTAGTCCACCAAATGTAGGTCAACATTTAATGTCCTACCTTCGCTGAGGTATGGGTGACTTTCATGTGCTCCATTTAGGAATACCAGACGAGCAGGCAGTTTACGAAGATGCGCTCGACACTGTTAGATCGATGCCTCAAGTGGTGAGAACAAGAGAGAGGTAAAAAGACTCTCCTCGCGCACTCCCTTACTGACACGGCAAGAAATTGCAGGCACGTTGAACACCGTGGCGCAGCTACACCAGATCGCCCTCTCTTCATTCGCTACAGTCGCATCCAGTCTCCACTGGCTGAGCGTGGTTACGGGGTACTCCTGTTGCGTTGACTTTGTCAGCCGCGATCCGACTGGCTTCGTGGGCCGCCGCTACAGTCTTTCCGGAAATTCGGTCCTGGACGAGGCTCTTCCGGGCATTCACTAATGATTTATAGATTTTTACGGAAGTTCAGCAGGGTTTCGTCGTGCCTTCATGAAGGATGTCAAAAAATTACAAATTATTTCTAACCACTAGCTTACGGGCATAAGCGTAAAACCACAGCTAGGAAGTAATGCGAAGCGACTTTTAGCGAGTTGGAAACACAGAAGAAATATTAAGATTTATAATTTACGTTGTTTAGAAATACCAACGTTTTTAGGAAAGCGGAAAAATCCGAAAAAGCTAAACCTCATTTTAAATGAGTAAGCCTACGTTTTAAATGTACAGAAAGCCTGCCTGTACAAAAACTGAGTAGACGAAATAGTATTCAGGGTAGTTTGAACTGGAAAATCCTTAAATAATAAGTTGAATGGCACCTAT